TTTTAAACTTAATTTTTATTTTTAAAATCTTTGCTGGAACTTCAGGGCAGAGCCCCAGAAAAACAAGCACAGTGGCTTGGGCACCCATGTGGCTTTAGGATGACCAAGACCTTCATGCTTTATTTGGAGTAAGCAGTTTGACCCTCTGCCTTTCAAATCACGGGAAAACACTAACATCTGTTACCAAATTAAGTCTGTAGGGATCATTACATATTATCTAAACTAACAGCTCATGCTTGACTTGTCTTATGTGAAAGAACCCCGCCTTTCTTCTTGAGAAGCTGCTCCTGTCCCACCACAGCCCTAGCTGCTCACCAGAGAAGACGCCATCTCTCACTCATGAGGCAGCGATGAGCTCCCACCAGTGAAATACCTCCTTCTTTTCATTGAAGACATTTTTCAAAGCCTTTACACCAAAGCCTATGCTATGCTATTCCTCCCAAGAGCTCCCAGCCTCCACTGAAGGTAGTTACTCACCTGCACAACATATCCTGAGATGCACTTGAAGTTTGGAGGTTGTGGGATGCCATCTATGAGCACTTCTCCAGACAGGCCTGCTGGGTCCTTTCTGGCAGCCAGCACATCTAGCAGACTTCAGACAAACACCAGGCATTAGGTTTTGCCATGACAACTGCTTTATCTCAACTGAGCCAGTACCACAAGTCAGCACTGCAGTTAAGCTGCTGCACTCCAAACACAGGGCTCTCAAAGGGGCATCCTCTGCTCTGGGGCCTTCTGCAGGATTCTCGTGTGCCAGGTATGCCACAGCAATTCTGCAGTACTCAGACCCTCACAGCTGGAACCCCCTGCAGACATTAGCTTGGGCTCCATATTAACAGCTAACCACGGACGCACACAAAAGCACCCTGCCAAGCAGCTGCAGTCTGCTCTCCAGCCAGTGGAGCACAGAAGAAACTACTTTGATCTCAAGGAAATTAATCCAAATGAGTATAAACAAGACTGGAGTAAAGATTAATTTTATAAAGTAGTTTTGTTTTAAAATATGTCTGGATTCTTCTTACTGTAAATTAGAGGCCAGACTGTCTGCTAGCTCAGTGAACATTGCCCTGATGGAGCCTAGTTCTTGGAAATATCCTGGCAGTTTCCTAGAGGGGAAGATCAAGGATCATAACAAGGACACACCTATGTAAACCCTGGCCATATTTACCTGTCCTTGATCTTCTCTAAGGAAGAGTGACACAGCACTCTTTTACTATGGTTACACAAGAGAGAAAACAGCATCCGTACTGGCTGGAAATAGTCTGCAAAGTATTCTGTGATTTCATCCAAAGATTCTGAGCACATGCACTCCTACCACCAGGCCACATCCAGACTGGGTGATGGATGATCTACAGCAGGTATCCTACAGACTGACATTACACCTTACTTCTGCCAGTCATCAGAGCCTCTGAGGAAGTCTTGCTGCAGCAGCTTCACAGGTGACAACTTCCCTCCCACCCGAGAGTGTTTGCTCCCACCGCCATGCCATGACAGGCCTGGAGCAGAGCCTACACCTGAGCTTAAGTCACTCCTGCTCCCCCGGTATCTTGACTCAGGCCATTATCAAAGGTGACTACAGTAACACAGACCACAGATCGTAAGGGTGTGGCACAAACGCAGGACAAGAACTCCAGCAAAGCTGACATCAGAGGGACAGGATGTGAGGTCAAACTGCATTGCCAGATTTCTTGCAGTCTGAGCCTGAGGATCCCTGATATCCTCTCCCAACCCTAACAGTCCCACATCCCTTTGAACCGCTGATTGGACATCTGAAGAGCAAAAGGAAGTACTCACGAAGATTTGCCACTCCCTGTTGGCCCCAGGATAGCATTCAAGCCTGGCTTCATAATGCCACTGGAAGAAGGAAAGAGTTATTTCCAAATGGAAGACTGTTCACATGTGGCTCATAGCAGAGGTAAGGTGTGAACAAAATACTGCTGAAATGAAAACTTCAAGATTATTAAAAATCTTCTTAAATCTGGAATCAGAAAGCATTTTTTCGTTCTCATCCCAAACTGCCAGTAAGAACAGAATTAGAGCTGTGCATAAAAAGAAAAGGGTCTGGAAAAGAAGAAACAATGGCTCTCTGCTACTTGCACACCTCTCACCACAGCTCAGACCATAGTTAAGGAAATCCTTAGATCTTCAGGCAGAAGTGTTTATACAAGTTTGATCCTAATTTTCTTACATCAATGACTGACACTGCTCCACTTATATCCCAGCTTTTATGCCTAAAGCATGTTAGCAAGTGCTCACATGAACTGCAGACTGGCAGGAGGGCAGCCATTTCTCTACCAGTACAGCTGGATCTGGAAGATGACAATGACATCAACCAATTCACAGCAGCAGATTAATTTCCACCCTTTGGCATTTTGGTTAAGGAAGAACTTACTAAACATTATGAAGGATCTTCTTTTCCACAGTCTTCCGTTTACATAGGAATCCACTGGACTGCTTAACGGAGTACTGGATGTTATGGAAACTCACAACAGAGCCTCGAGGGGATCGGATGGAATCTCGTGTTGGAAGGGATCGTTGGAAGCTGGCTTCTTCCTCTTCTCCAACAGAAATGACACTATGATCAAATGTGTCCGCCATCATGTCCTTGTTACACAGGTCAATCTCAACTGCATGAGGGTTTCTGAGGTGGCTGTTGTTTTGAGCAGTTCCCATCTACTGAAACAAAGAACACAAAAACACACACAGAAGAAGACAAGTGAGACAAGATCTGCAGAAGGTGTCCTGAAAAAGTTCATGTATACCATTCCAATCTTTACGTGTCAAGTTTCTGAAGGGATGGGCATCAGTGCTGGAAGACATTCAGCAGTCCCCAAAGGCATAGGAACATGTAGAACAATACAAGCAACCTCAAGGAACAAGGCATGGATGCTCTTGAAGAAGTGACATTAGCTCAAAGAACATTTAATGAGGAAAAAAAAGCCCATCTGTGATGATCACTGTATTGCTTAACACAGTGGGGACTCCAAATGCGTACTGCTACTCTTAACCTAAAGAGACTGAAGCTCCCTTCCATCATACAGAACATGCTTACTCACCTTCATACACCATACAGTGAAGAAAAGCAAAGCACAAATATATACTGCAGTATATAGTATTTGCAACCACAGGGAAATGTACAAACCATCCTGACTCAAGCAGATAAGCTGCTTCTGTAGCTTTGGATGGAGCACACAGAAGGGAGGACATGCAAACAGCAAAGGGAAGGAGCTGCTCTTCCTACCTCTGCATCAGCCCCTGTATAATAAGTACCATATCAAAATCAGTATAACCATTAACAGACACTTAGCAGTGACTCTATTAGTAGTGTCCTAGCAACAGAGCTCTTTTGTCAAGGGGCTGCTTCTTCTTCTGTTGGTGTAACTGGCTGAGACCAATCACATAACCACACAGAACTGCAGGAGTTGGAAGGGACCTCAAGAGATGGAGTCCAGCCCCTCTGCTAAAGCAGCTCACACAGGTAGGCGTTCAGACAGGTCTTGAATATCTCCATATTAGGAGACTCCACAACTCTCTGGGCAACCTGGTTCCACTGCTCCATCACCCTTACTGTTAAGAAGTTCTTCTGCATGTTAGTGCAGAACTTTCCTTGTTCAAGTTTTAGACCGTTACTCTTTGTCCTATCACTACATCACCAAGAGGAGCCTGGCCTCATTCATTTGGCTCCCATCTCCTTTCAGATATTTATTAACATTAATCAGATCCCCCATCAGTCTTCTTTTTGCCAGGCTGAACAGATCCAGGATACTCAGCCTCTCCCCTCATATAGGAGATGCTTGAGGTCCTTTATTATCTTTGCGGCCCTCCGCTGGACTTCTTCTAGGAGATCCCTATCTTTCTGAAATGGGGAGCCCAGAACTGGACACAGTATTCTGTATGTGGCCTCACCACAGCAGAGTCAAAGGGGAGAATCACCTCCAGATACCACTGGCCTTCTTTGTCACAGGGGCACATTGGTGGCTCATGGCCAACCTGTTGTCCATCAGGACCTCCAGGTCCTTCTCTGCAGAGATGAGTATGAGCCCATCGCTTGTTTACAAAAGCTTAAAGCTGTTACACAAGAAGAACTTGGAAACCCTGCAGCCCCTAAGTTCTGTAGTTCACACCCTGCCTTTCAGCCAGCTGTCTTCGTAGTTGAAAACCTTGCTGTCCCCTTTCCAGGCAGCTGCAGCAAGAAAGAGGCAACACTACATACCCTTTCCAGAAACTGAGCGCAACAGTTTACACCACTACAGGGCAGTCTAATCACTTACTTCTCTTTTAGCTGCGAGCACAAAGGTGCTTCTTGGAAAACTTACGCTAGCGATTTTGCGGAAAGCCGAGGCTGTCACCAAGCTAATGAAGAGCAAGGAGAAAAAAAACAGAACTAACATTTCACAAAAACTCCCATTGCTGATTAGCTGGGCTTTGTGAGAAGGCAGATGTATCCCACAAGCAATACTTTCCCTTCTATCTGCACCCAAAGATGATCTTTTTCCTATTGTTTGCACTTTTTTCCTCCAAGGAATGAGAGCATGATAACCAGTAGGACCAAGCACTGCACAAGTGGAACATTTCTCTGAAAGTGAGATGGTCATCCTTGTAAGAAACCAGAGTTCCAACATCCAGATGAAAAAAACAAAACAAACAAACAGAAAACCCCACACACACACAAAAAAAGCAACCAACAAAACAAACAAATAAAAAAGCCCAGAAAGACAGATAAGCAGACAGAAGGACCCCAAAATGCCTTTCCTATCATTTTAAGCCATTTGGACATGGTCCCGAGTATCGTGTGGCCCTGCCTGAGCAAGGGAGGCTAGACCAAACCGCCTCCTGCCATCCTCAATTCTGTGTAAGCTCAAGAAGTGGTAGAGGTTTTCGTTCCTGTTTAAGTAAATGAAAAGCAGCAGGGAGGCAGAGGGGGGAGGAATAGATGGAAAAGTTGTTTAACTTGGATGCAATCCCATACTTGGAGGCTAGTCATTCCTGGGAAAGCCATGTTTGTGGGAAGTATGAAGGAGCTGCTGGTTACATCAGCACAAGGCAGCTTATGTATGAGAAAGGTTGCACAACACATTGGGAAAAAGACATAGGACAGACCATGACATCAAGGGCAAAGACCCTGATAGACCTTTGAACATCTGACCATCTTGTAAACCTCACATCTGCTCCAGTGAGCCCAGCTTTCTGCTTACAACGCCATAGACCCTTTTATACGTGTTTTTGCAAAGTTACTGATAAACGCTGACAAGATAAACCACCGAGCGGCTACAGGCAAGGATAAAAGAAAGCTGAAAGAAGGGAGGAAAAAGACCAGCAGAGGCTACAGGTGGGCTCAGGCAGCCACACTTCGACCGCGGCAACCCCATCCCCAGCACCACCCCGCGATTCGGTGCCGGTGCCGCCCCACTCAGAGCCCCGCTCAGCACAGAGCCCCAGCGGGACAGCCCGCGCCGTTACCTCCAGACTCCACGGCGCTCCGTGCGACGGACACGAGGCTATGGCTGCGGTGCTGCCTCGGCTGCGTTTTATAAGCGGGTGCGGACGGCGGGGTTACATAAAGCGGCGACGGCGGAGGCTGCCCGGTGCTGTCACACGATCCCGCCGATACGCGGGAGCCCGGAGCTCAGCTCAGCTCAGCACGGCCCGATCTGCCGCGGCTGCGCGACCCCCGGGGCGGTGCCGTTGGGCTGGGCCGCCCCCGCTACGGGGGCCGGGAGCGGGGGGAGCCCCCGAGCGCGGGGATGCTGCGGGCTGCGCCGGGTAGTACTGCGCCTTCGTCGGGGGAGGAGGAGATGGAGGGGTGGGAGTGGGAGTGGGAGTGGGAGTGGGAGTGGGGTAAGCGCTTCGCTTTCTGCCGCAGCCACCAAACGGCCGTCGGGGCTGGGGCATCTCCCCGCGACCTCCCCTGGCGGTGCCGTCCTCCGAGAGTGCCACCCGGCCGGTCTCACCTCTCCGAAGCTGTGCGCCCCCCGGCGGTCCCGCCGCCTGCCCCGGGTCGCCGCTGTCCGCCTCTCGTGTTCGCGCTCCGTGTGAAAGCGAGGCGGTCGGATTTCCGCTGGTTTGCTGTCTGTTTCTCCGCAGCCGCCTGTTCCCAAGCACTATTGTCTCATCACGAACGAGCTCGCCCTCCCCAGCCTCTGTGTTAGAGTGAGTGCAGGAAAGGCCCTGCCTTATGGTTTGTAAAGATAACTTATATCAGTGCTGTCAAGTCACTTACTGTATTAATTACCTCTGACCTGACTGCACTCTGCAGCACTTCTACAATGTTGCATTTTCCTAACAACTGCTCATGCTAGATGAGTCCAAAGCTCAGATGAGCAGAAGCATGTCTATGGCTACCCAATAAATACCAGCAATAAAAATTTCAAAGGTTCACCTATCCCCGCCCTGATGCCTGCCTGTACCCAGACATGCCAATGCAGTGGGCAGAACAGATACCTGTACCTTGTGCAGCTGCTGGCAGGAGTCAAGAGCCAGGAAGGTTTGTGAGGATACTGAAACAGGTGTAGCAAAGGGTACTGAAAGAGGTGTGACAAGAGCCATGGGTACGGTCACAGTGCAGGCATGCTGAATAAGGATGTTATTTTCAGTTGCTCTGTGGGGCAGAAGTGGACTTGAGTTTGTTTTCTTTGCATTTTAAGTTCCCCCTTCAAGGAAAATCTGCCTACGTGGAAAACTTTTGCCCTATTACTTCACCAGACATGCACATTTCTCTGTGTCCAAGCGTATTTCAATCCTAAACACCATGGAGCCTACACTGTGCTGCAGTGGCAACCCTTCATCATGTGCCTGGCACAGTGAAAAAAAAAGACAGTGTGCTTGGAAGCAGAGGTGAGTTGCTGTGATCAGGAACTTCTCCACGTGGTGCCTGCACACATCCTGACAGAATAGAAATGGAGACCCAAGGAATGGAAAGGAACCAGATCTGACAACTTAAGCATCCTGATGGAGGCCCTGGCTTTCCCCCATCCCATTCCTGAAGCAACAATCTTTTGGACTTCCTCTGGTCTTCTGGGCTTTTGATCTTCAGAATTCATCTCCTTCCCAGCTGGTAAGTCTGGGAAGAAGGGCAAGTGCTCTTCCTTGCTCTGGGCACATGATGTGCCACCACTGCCCTCTTACTTCTGACCGCAGCAGGAAAATTGCAAATGAAGCTAGCAGCAGCAAAGAAATAGGAAGGAAGTATTTTCTAACTGTATCATTTTACTGACATAATTGATTTAAATCATGCTGTTGCTGAGGCAGATTTCTGCCCATACAGGAACAAAAACCAGTGGCCAGGGCTGTGGCATGAGACACAGCAAGCCTAAGGAGAGCCCCATGTCAAACACTGCATTTTTCTGTCATACCGGTACCGAGGCCTCAACATCCTCTGAATAAAGAATTTCTTCCTAACATCTAATCTAAATCTCCCCTCTTCTAGTTAAAAGCCATTCCCCTTGTCCTATCACTATCTAAACCATGTAAAACGTCAATCCACCTCCTGCTTGTAAGCTCCCCTCAGGTACTGGAAGGCCACAATGAGGTCTCTCCAGATCCTTCTTCAAGTTAAACAAGCCCAACTCCCTGAAGTTTTCTTCATATGGGAGGTGCTCCAGCCCTCTGATCATCTTTGTGACCCTCCTCTGGACTCACTCCAACAGCTCCGAATCATTCTCAGTTAAGGCTAATTTGAACACTGCTCCTTTCTTACAGAATCTGGTCATGCCAGACATCTTGCATGTCCCACAGCACACAGTGTGGAGAAGTTACTAAGTACCATGAGTTCCTCTATCTTCTGAAGGTTCTGGCCTCTTCTCTCCTTTTCGCAACCTGAGTAACAGGATTGCAAAAACATCAATTTGCAGGGGGTGCTGGGTGTTCCCTGGAGTCCAGCTTTCCATTTGGGCCAGGTCTTGCCACCACACAGTCAACACAGACGTGGCTCTGTCTAGCTGAATCACCAGTCAGAATTTTTTCAGCTGTGTTTCTCTATTACTTTCCTTAGGATGCTGTTTTCCTTGCCCGAGGATCCAGGTTGTTTTAATCCTGCCTAATGTCAAATTTCATAAAGCTTTTAAAACATTTCAGGGACTTGAGCCAGTGAGAGTGGATGAGAAACACGTGCAGGAGGAACTGCATGCTCATTATTATTTTGTTCTCTACTGAATGAAGCAAGATGCAGATCCTGAAGCTCACAGTGCAAAAGCAGCTTTGAGAACAATAGAGACAGCAACATTAGTCATTGTGCATGTGAGTGAGGAGCTCTTCCTAGCTCTTCTTTTCCAAAAGGAGATACCAATAAGCCATTTTAAAAAACACACTCTGTACAGATACTTACAGCTGTGCTGAATTGACTGCATCTTCAAATCCGTCACCTTAGGCACAGAAAGACTTTCCAGCTTGTTTTTCTACCCTGAGAGCAAATTGTGTCAAAGCTGGTGCTGACTGGCATCCCCTAATTAGTTAAAGTGCTGCTCACCTTGGGGAAGTTGGCATTTGAAAGGCGTGAAGATTGCATAGAAGAAATCTGACTTTGTCAAGTTTTGTTAATCATTTAGTCCATTATCTGAATGCATAGTAGCACTAAATCCATGGCTGGTTAAAGATAAGAGAAGATTCAAGCAAATCTAGGAGGAAAGGAAATTAATACTTAACTAGTGTGCTGCATTCATGTATGATGGCTGACAGAAAGATTGGCTAAACAGTAGGATTACTAGAACTGTGTGTGTTATCTGTGTAAAGCAGATAGAGATAAAATATCTGAAGTCTGCAAGATCTAGGGGATCTAAATAACCATTCCACTCCTTCAGAAGTTAAAAAGCTAACATCATAGGCTTGCTCAGATATTTACAGCTCCAACTCACTGCTGTTAGCAAGGCTACAGAGAACGAAGGGCAAGCATAAGATGTACAGTGCAAATGTAGAGAGGCACTTTTTTCCCTTCCACTCTAGAAAAATGATGAGAGGGACATAAGACAGGTAGAGAGAGCAAAAATGGTAGGCCTCATGAGAAGGGTAGAAATAGCAACCTAGACAAGGGATACCTCTTAGATAAGCTGTATAGCAGTATTAGGTTGGTAAGCTTTAGGAGTCTGCTGAGAATGGAAGCCCCGTGTCCTCCCTAAAGATACAAATATGGAGAGATGCCAGTTATGACTGCCCCATGCTCTTACACTTTTAGGACAAGGCTAGGGACTGCCACCTGCAACCAGGAGGGAAAGTGGCACTAAGCAGAGATGCACACTTCTCCCAAATTCAGCATAAGTCCTGGGGCAGGACTCCCTCAAGTTCCGTTCCCATTGCCACCTGCAGGTCAGGCATGGCCTCTCAGCAGTTCTGCTTCCCATTTGAGTGCTTCAGAGCCCACAGGAGGTTAACAGAATTACAGTGTGTTTTATCTGTCCAACTTCAGATTTCCAGAGGTCAGATTTGTCCCTAGGCATTAATGTTGACACAACATTACATAGGCATTTCAACTCCATCCTCAGGAGCAAAGTCCAGGCTGCCCCACTACCCATTCCAAAGAAACTGCTTAATATTTAAAAATACACAGGATCTGAGACACTAGCATTTGCTGTGGCTGCAATGAACAGATTTATTGGTGCTGTACGCCTATAAGCACAGTGTCCCCAGAGGAACTTACAAAACAGCAGGATATGATAACAACGTGACTGTAAACAGCCTGTATGCTGAAGCAGGAGAGAGAAGAAATTAGCTCTGGCAGTTTCTGCCTTCTTTTGCATTTTCCTAAATGTCCAAGCATGCTGTATGACACAGAGCTACTGCATCACATCCTTCCAACACAGGACATCGCACCATATTAGATGGCAGAAAAGGCAGAAGCAAAAACTCAAAAGAGTACAGCTGGTCTGACTGTCATGTCCTACTACATCCCATATTAACGTCAATACTTACTTCGTTCAGTAGAGACACTGCCTGGTATTTGTCTATGCCAGAACATCTCATGGTGTTTTTGATAGTGCCATTCTCATCTCCAGACCTGATTTTCTCTCCTACTTGGGAAATTGCTATGTAAGGGGGTTGACTCATGAATGAAAAAGGGACAGAGGGAGCCCAGAGCTACCACTGACAGCTGTGTGCCCTAGGGCAGGAGATGGCAATTTGAGAGAGGCAGGGGAAGTAAATAATAGTAATAGGAAATCTAAGATTGGTCTGAATAGAGAGTAAATGAGAGTTTCAGTGTGGAACACAAGGAGTCATAGGTGTCTATGGCGCTGAATTTAACAACTCATCAAGGACATCCATACACATAAGGGCTTATCCAGGCATTCACACTGGGAGATAAATAACGATCCGTAAATTTTAGTGACTCACATAGAATCATGGAATAGAGTTGGAAGGGACCCATATGGATCATTGAGTCCTACTCCTGGCTCCACAGTGGACCACACAAAAATCAGAGCACATGACTGAGAGCAGTGTCCAGATGGTGCTTGAACTTCAGCAAGCTCAGTAACCCAGGACCTGTTCCAGTACCCAAGCATTCTCTCAGTGAAGAACTTTTTCCTAACACCCACCTGGCCCTCCCCTGGCCCAGCTCCATGCTGTTCCCTCAGGCCCTGTTGCTGTCAACAACATGGTCCCTTCTGCCTCCTTCATGGGGAGCTGCAGCCACCATGAAGGCTCCCCCCAGCCTCCTCTTCTCTGAGCTGAACAGACCAAGGGACTTCAGCCAATCCCCATCTACTTTGCCCTCCAGAATCTTCTCCATCTTCATAGCCCTCATTTGGGCTCTCTGATAGTTTTATGTCATTCTCGTGTTGTGGCATCCTGACCTGTAACCAATGCTGGAGGTGAGACCACTCAGCACAGAGCAGGGCAGAATAACTCCTTTCCTCGCCTTCTGGCATGCTGGGCCTGGTGCACCCCAGGGCCTGGGTGGCCCTTCTGACTGCCAGGGCACACTGCTGGTTTATGTTCAACTTGCTGTCGATCAGAACCTCCACATCCCTTTCCGTGGGGCTGCTCTTCAGTGTCTCATCCTCCATGTATGTATAGCCAGGGTTGCCCCTTTCCTGGTGCAGAACCCAGCATGTACTCTTGTTAAACTTCATGCAATTGGTGACTGCCCAACTCTCTAATTTTCTAGGTGTCTCTGCAAGGCTTCTTCAGTCTTGGCAAAGTCAGCAGCTCCTCCCAGCTTAGTATAGTCAGCAAACATTAGGAGGAATGGGATGAGAAACTGAATACTGTCATCTCTCAAAAGGTTATGAAAAAACACATGCGAAAACAACCCTTTGGTCACTTATCTGTGAAGTCAGGCAACATGATGATTCAACTCTGTCATCAGTAAGGAGCCCTGGCCACACCACTTGAGTACAGGTCTTGGTGCCCAAATGCTAATCAGTCTGGACAAACATAACAAGGCTGGCAAATCAGAGCTGGAAATGCCTTTAACAAAGCATGTGCAGCAGATAGAGGAAGTGGTTAAGGCTGCTTTTTCAGTGTTGTGCTATGTGCTTCCTCTCCACCTTTAATGCTCGTGGGAAGTCTAGAGGTAGGTTGGAAGCCATAAGCACTGTTTACCTCTTCTAAAGGCAAACCCCCCGTCACACACGTCAATGTGATGTAGTGAGCAGTTGAGACCCTGGTGCTCTGTGATTTCAGCTGGTTGCTGCCTTTGACTCCATACTGCTCTGATGGAGAACACAGACTGGTGGAATGGCCTTTTCTGGGCCTGTATGGGACAACTCCTTTTGTGGCTTTTTGATAAAACCTTTGTATTCCTGCAAGGATTCAGAAAGAATGCCAAATCCCATTTAAGTAATCATTGTCTATTCCATAGGAATTTAAGGAAAAGCTCTGCCCTTTTGTCTCCAAAAACCTTTGTGCACAATTCCAGATATTGCTTTGTTTGAGGAACTCTAGACATGTCTGAACAGCTGAATTGGCTTGACGCATTAGAGCAGTATGTGTTCACACACGTGTAGTTTCTTTGTCTCTGAAAGACATGCTGCTATTTCTGGTGCCTGTTCACAAGAGGGGAGCCTGAAAATAACGACAGCCAGCAGAAATGATTATTTGGGATAGTTTCTCAGCCCGTTTCCTCAGGGCTGAATTTAACAGCTCATCCAGACACAGTCCAGTTGACCTCAGGCTCCTTAGCCTCGCTGGTTGCTCTGCTAAGCTGTTTCTCAGGCTGCTGGGCCTCTTTGACATGCAGAAGTGAGCATGCCAGCTGAGTAGGACTGCTGTCCTTGGGGAACGACAGTCAAGATGCAGTGCCAGGCAGAGCTTCTAGGGGATGCCCTGCACTGTGATGCCCTGCACTGTAGGGCCGTCATGATGCCAGGCACTCAGGCTCTCCTGGTGACTTGCTGCAGCATGTCCTCATGAAGCTGGGCTCTGAAGCATGAGCTGAGGTCAGAGGCTTGTCACCAGACACCACATTGTGTTATCAATGTGACATTGGCATTGCTTCTTGCAAAGCAGGGTGCGGCCTGAACTCACCACCCTCCAGCTGCCTGCTGCTGCACTCTGCGTACATACTGGTAGCTGGTGGCTGCACCTGCCATTTCCTGTTCAGTTCCTCAGGCAATTCATCTTGCAAAAGTCCTCTGAAAAATCTGCCATGTTTCTTTTAACACACCCCTTTGTGTCCAAACCTGGGGAGATTGGGCCTTTGAATACACTGGAATTCCTCCTCTGTGGAACATTCTCCCAGTACAGGGCTTCTTGCTTTTGCACGTGCAGGAGTTTACCTGGGTATGTTATCAGCTGGCTTATCACACAGTGACAGGCTCTCACTTCCCTTTTCCCTAGTTTCTAATAAACTGTATTGGTTTATCAACTCCCACTAACAACTGCTTGCAGAAGAGGCAGAAGGTCAAGAAATCAGCACTGAGGCTGACACTAGCTCTTATTGAGAATCTTTACATTTGTGAAAAACTTATTTTGTAAAAAATCCTTGTTACAAAAAGGAGCAAAGCCTGTGTTAATCCTATATAAAAGTTGTAGAGAGGATAAACAAGAATAACCAGCCTGAGAAGGGCAGAGTTTGTGACAAATACGTGTGTGAGAATATCTAGCATTATGAAATGTTGGAAACTTTATGTTTTGCTTCTTTTTGTCATAGAAGAAGTATTTTTTCTGAGTTTGTCCTCTCTAAAATAAACAGGTGCTTGCTACCCACCTCCTGTGAGAGCAGCAAAGGACAATTCTCAGGTGTGAGGGGCTAGTAGTGGTGCTAGCTGACATCTGCTGGAACACTGAACATCTGTCATAAAGCGTCTCCCAGAGTTTGGCTGCATTTGTCAGGTTTGGGGGATTTCAATGTGCCCGTCAGACCTGTTCACTG